CTCAGTCCCCTCGTGGTCACCTCGCCAAGCTGGGCGGTCACGCTGGCTGCTGGGATCCCCCGGCATTGCCGGGAGTGCCGGTGGTGCCACGCAGCTCCGTCTGCTCAAATCGGGGAGGGCGAACGTATTTGCTACCACGCAGGATCTCTTTATTTTTGTTAAGTGTTACTATATTTTGGGTATGTTGGAATCTTTTTTTAACTTAAAAAGTTTGCAGATCTGATTCTGCAGAATATTTTTTCAAGTATTTTGTATTCTACACTGAGTTTTGCACACGCTAAAGCAGCTTTCTGGGATTTTTAATACTTTTTACTCATCCTTTATCGATTAAACTTGCTGCACAGAACTGGCAGAGCGTGGCAGCATTTTCTTCTGTGGGAGGTGGAAACCCTCGCGGTCCCCGTCTTGCGGAGGTGAGTGCTGGGCTTGTCCTGCCTGTGGCTGCGGTGCCGTCGGTCCCGCGGTGGGGAGCACTGGGGGTCCCTGGTGTCACCCCCAATCGCCTGGAGCATCCCCGGGGTCGGTGTCGGGGCAGGGACCGCAGAGGGGAATGACGGGAAAATGAAGGGTGGGCTGATGCCTGCGGGGCTGAGGGGTGATGCCCCCGTCCCAGCGCTGTAATCCTCCTTGTTGGGTACTGAAAGGCTCTTCAGCGGTTCGTAGCGCGTCTGTCGCTGTTCCCTCACAGCCGGGATGCATCAGGCTCACTGTGTGGAGGGGGAAAACCCAAAGAGGTGAGGAAAAAGGCAGCTGAGGCAGGCTGGGTCCCGTGGGGGTGGCTGGGGGGGTCTGTGCCCCTCCGCTGCCGTGGCCGGGCGGTGGGCAGAGCGCCGGTGGGCAGCCCCCCACCCCCAGGAGATTTGTGCCCCCATGAGCACCAGGTTGCTGCTCTTTACGGGTCCCAGGCTGGTGAATTAGTAGCCCTGATGAAGTCGTGTGCCGAGTTCCTCTGCCTCCCCGGGACTGATCGGAAATGACAGGTAATATTTTAAAAATTATTATACTGTCTGCAGCAGAGAGAGGCCCCGAAGTCGGGTTATTAAAGTAGATTAGCTGAATAATTTTCATTACGTTTTCATACAATGGTATTTCTTGAGGCTTATGAACGGGCTGGTGCTGTACCCTCGGCCGAGGAGGCAGCTCGAGCGCCCGGCGTTCACGGCTGCGGGGCAATGATGTGGCGGG